TTGAGCTTCCTCACAATAAATGTCAAAGATACCCACTCAGCACTGAGCCTCACGCATGTAAAGCTCCAGCTGAACAAAACCGTTTTGAACTCCTTCCACCTTTCTTCATAACACTCTCTCCTCTGGGACTCCACTGTTGTTCCCTCTTCAAACTTTTCATTTTTAAAATCAACCTGGCGCCCTAAAGAGATCTTTGTTTTGTTTTGTTTGACTCACAGAATAATATTTTATTCACCCTTCTTTTCCTGATATTGATCATAATCCTAATGTACACAACACACTTGATGTCTGCAGGAAAAAATAGAAAAGGGTGGGGCAGAGGGAGAGGAGAAAAGAGGAAATATATGGAACCAGAGAGGGAGGTGAAACAGCCAAAAGTGTCACTATGTAAAAGGGAAAAAGCTGGGATAAAAAACAAAACAAAACAAAACAAAAAAAAAAATTGAATATAAAACCACCTGAACTTGTGTTCACATTTTTCATAGGCCTAGAAAGTCTAGTCTGTTGGAAGGCTCCTCACAACAGAGAATCTGGATACAGGTAATCTTTTCTACATGAGCCACCTGTAGAAGGAAACCTAAGGAGGAAGGAAACCTGAAGGACGGTTCAACAGGTAAAGTGCTTGCCATGGAAAGGTAGAAGAAAAGACCTGACTCCAAAATAACAAATAAAAGAAACGCCTGTGGTGGATGCCTGTAATCCCAGCACACAGGGAGGCAGAGTCGGGTGGATCTCTGTGCGTTTGAGGCCAGCCTGGTCTACAAAATGAGTTCAGGACACCCAAGTCTACACAGACAAACCCTGTCTTGAAAAACCAAAAAATAAAAGAAAGAAAGAGAGAGAGAGAGAGGAAAGAAAGAAAGAGAAAGAAAAAGAAAAGAAAGAAATTTAAATACTTTGAAATGGAATCATGGCTTGTGTAGAAGGTGCTGAGACTGAAGACAAGGTGTGTTCAAGGCTCTATGCCTGGCTGGCCCCATGCCATGAGTGTCCCACCTTGTTCCCCCAAATCTCAGAGCCCTCATAGGGAAAATGCTAACTGCATCTGCTTCAGGAGCTCAAGTGAGATAACTGAAGCGAAGATCTTTTCCAATCCAGAGGGCACCACACCCTGGTGTGATGACTGTCGTTGGATTTATCTCCTCTTAGCTCTGCCAGCCTGAAGACTACGTGGCCACCACTGGGTATCTCATCTGTATACAGAGCAAGGACTAGGGCTTGCCTTGTGCACAGAGAACTTGGATGAGTTCATACAGACTCAAGATTTTCACAGTTTTCTTTGCTCCTTCCCTCGCCCGCTAGGTCAGTCGGTATATGTTCACTGTAATAATCCTGCAAGAGTTCATCTCTCAGAGTATAACAGAAAGAACCGATCCTGGGATCGAGGTCACTTTGCACTCAGCAACCTCCTCCCTCCACTCACTAAGGTAGGACACAGAGCATGGGCAGAGGGAAGATGTCCGTTACTTTTAGCTCCAGACAAGGCATGCATACAGAAATAAAATGACCAAAATAATCTTCATCTCTATTTTTAAGTTAGCATTCAACTCTGAGCAGAGTGCAAGAGAGGAAAAGCTCACAACTGATTCCTTTCTTTACATTGCCTGGCAGGTTTTGCCTACATTCTCATTTTTCCTTCAGTAGCCTCCCCAAAGGGGAAATCCAACCATTAAGACAGCCTAAGTGTTTCTTTTTCTCTCTCTCTCTTCAATTTGTGCATTGTTTCTCTTTTCCCAAATCACCCACACTGACAAAAAAGGAAGGGAGAGGATTTCAAAATAACTTCACAAGCTAGTTTGGAACCTCATTAATCCCAGAGGTCTGGTATAAAATCTGTTCTAACTACTATTTTCCCAGAGGATTGCTAATATATAGCTCTCTACTTCCTCTCATCTTGACTGCTCTGTGATTTGTTTTTCTTTTCTTTTGCAGAATATGATATTATTATTATTACAGTGCTGATACTATGGGATGAAAGTCCGACAATCTGGAAAGCTCATGAGAAGAGGGTGGACAGAGATTATTCTGGGACTGGGCAGTTGAGGCAGGGCCGCAGAGATCAGAGTGCATCTCTCCTGCAACTGAAGCAATATGTGAATTACATGGGGGCTAGGGAGATGGTTTAGTCAGTACACTACCTGAAATGCGAGTCTGAGGACACGAGTTTCAGTCCCCGGTGTTCTTGTAAAAAGCTGGGCGTGGGTGACACACACGCCGATTTCAAACCCAGAAAGGCAGATCTGGGTAGATCCCTGGGGGTCTCTGGCCAAGCAACCCAACCAAATCATCGAGCTCCGGGTTCAGAACAGACCCTACCTCAAAAAATAAGACAGAGAGCAACCAAGGAAGATGCCCAACCTTGACCTCTGGCACGCACACACACACACACACACACACACACACGCACACGCACACGCACACACACGCACACACACATGCACACACGCACACACGCACACCGGGAATCAATCAATCAATTAATAAACAAACCTGAAACAGACTTGAATTCCAGAGTGCCCCGCCTACAACACCTAGATTCGGTTCTCAAACATTTTGAAGTGTGCAGCTGAGGGGACTGAATTTTATTCTGCATTTAATTTTAATTAAAAACATAAACCAAATCAGTGTCTAGAAAATCAGTATGATTAAAATTACCTGAATTTATAAACCTACATTTTCAACTGTAAAATTTGTGAATTTTAAATGTATATAAATTTAAATATGGATGAAAATTTATCAGCAGAATTTGTGTACTTTGAAAACAAAGTATATATCAGAGTTTTAAGGACTTAGTACACATTTTGGAGGTTTTGACTTTAATCAGACATATTGGGTTGCTGTTATTTGTTTTCTAGTTTCGGTTTTTAATGTAGCTAATTTAAATGTATGTGTTTATTTACATTATATTTCTATTGGGCAGCACTTCCCTGGTACAGAGACTACATAGGTTAGAATTCCTTTTTTTTTTTTTTTCACTTTCTAGCTCTAAAATGGGATCAAAGATGTTTTCTAGTTCTTTGATGAAGAACTCCCTGATAGCCCCTACAGCATAGGCTCTATATGAGATATGACTGAGTTACAGAAGCACACAATTCATGAGGCATCACTGACACCTGGTATGCTCAACATGTGCTATTATTATAGTGTGAAGTTTTTATTCATTATGCTATGGGGAGAGCAAGAAACTGGAAGAGACTTTGAAATGTCAGAGGGAATTTTTCTCTTCCTTCGGAATGTCTTATTACAAACATCCTTTCCATTAGACTCTGGACAGCAGATGCCTAAAGGCTTTGTTCTCCTGGTGAGCAGCTATGTATTAGGTCGGCGCTTGCTGTTGCTTGAACACCTTCTTACAAATATCGAAAAGCCGCAGCTAACGGATGGGTGTCCAGACTTAATTTAGAAAAACACCCTAGTATCTGATAGGGCTGATTCACCATCAGTGAAATAAAGAGAGTAAGAGATGGGACTGAGAAGGTTTCATAAGAAGCAGGGCAGAGAGAGCTCTACAAACCATAGAGCACCCTGCCTGTACTGACGTGCTCTGCCCTGGAAACCACTGCTGTAGGATGGGCCTACCTTCCCCCCGTACCCCGTCTTCCCCCTCCCTAAGACATAATATGCAGTTACTTCGTAGGAGTGTCCCCAAGGACCCTTACTTTGTTCTACATTCCCTGTAAACTTGTCTGTGATTAAACAGCCAACCCCTATGCTGTAAAAACTTCTAAGAGCACTTTAAAAACAAAAATGCAAAAGCTCTGCACTTAAGGGACAAACTAGTACATCAACAGTAGTTGTTCACACGTGGGCTCATTTTGTCTAGTCAGGCATCTCGCAAGTCTTAAAAGAAATGAGTCACCAACCAGGCACCATTCCCACAACACATGTTATGCAATAAGAATGTGGCCTAGGGCGTGTGGTGTGACTGTAGCAGTCAGACTGTCAGTTTGAGTTTAAACAATATGAATTACGGAGATAACAGAAAAGACTTAGTTGTATCTTGGACCCAGATTCAGGGAAGGTACACACTATCGTCTATATACTAAATGGCTAACTTTAAAACAGATAATTGTATGCAAGTTTACTTCATTGAAAGAGTAAATGTGATCTTACATGATCACACCAAAAAACTACATCAAAAAGTGTTATTTTAGGATAACGATAAAAGACTTGTCCCCACAAAATCTGTGATATGGGACTTGTGAAACCAGGACTAACATAATATACATCATTCTGCATACAGAACGATCTTAAACATGTTTTTTAAAAAGAACAAAACAAACACGCAAAGGAAAAATCATATAGAGCGACATAAGATGGTCACACAAAACTCAAATACTTCAACTCACAGGACACACAGAAATTAGACTCACAGATTAAACTGGATTAAAATCCACTGTGGTTCCTATGGTGTTTTTTTTTTTTGTTTGTTTGTTTGTTTTTTTAAGGCACACTGAGGGCATTAAAATGCTAACTAGCTGAAAAACAAAGAATGAGAACATATCTATCAGTCAGATACAAGGCACAAAAACCTCCATTGGAACAGCTATGTTAATGTAGACAGAGAAGACTGTAAGACAAATAATTTCAATAAGGACAGAGGTGCTATACAATGATTAAATGTTAAAGTCACCAAGGCAATATAACAATTCCAAACAGTAGGCACCTCACTCAATAAAGTCAACAGCTGCAAACAAAGGTTGACATTCTCCATGAACAAATAAGAAACATACGGTGAGAGTCAGAAATTACAAAATACTTCCTTCAATAACTAAACTTTCAAATAGCAAAAAAAAAAAAAAAAAAGGCAAAAGGTCGAAAAATTAACAACATAATTAACAACTGCAGTCTGATATTTATATATTTATATTTTCAGTGAGTCTACCAAGCTTATCACTGAATTTCAAAGCATAGTTACTGTATTAGTTTCTTTTCTGTCGCGATAAAAATGTCACAACCAAATACAATTTAGGGAAGGAATGGGTTTTGGTTTTGCTTACGGTTTCACAAGGGCGGAGTTGCTGACGACAAGGAAGGCACAGCAGCCAGCAAGGAAGGCGTAGGTAGCGAGTGGGCAGGAAGATGGCGGATTCCCAGATTTGCTCCTACAGAAAACGGAAGGACAAGGGACACAGCCTATCACTTCTCACGGCCCACCCCCCAGGGACACACTTCCTCCAGTAGGATTTCTCCACGTAAGTTCCAGCTCATGAAAGTATTGGAACCTTCTCGAACCACCAGCTGGTGGATTGTCAGCCACATCAGTTCTCATAGAAATAATCTTTCCCCTAAATTCTAGGAATTTAACTATGGGAAGAGAAAAGTGAGATCCAGTTTTAAGTGGACTGAAATTAATTTTCTAATACCTAATGAATTAAAGGAAACAGAGATTGAAAAGCATCTGTAATGGAAAAAAAAAAAAAAACGCCTAGCTACTTGAACATCTGAGATTATGGAACTATATTATCGGCTTGGCATTTCTTAAAATGGTAAGCTTGCTTATAATAAATAGAGTTTTGGGCTCTGACGCTTCAAGCTAATGTTACATCATAAGTATTTTGGCACGCCATTGTCCTTATCTTTTATCTAGGAATAGCTCTCCAGCTCCTATGTTTCTTTCTCCTTCAGCTAGAAATCAAAGCCCTGTTCTAAATATAAATTCATGTCAATAAGACACCTACAGACAAGCACACCCAGAAAATCAGAGTTCCTTTTAGGCTCAGTCTGGGTCAACCTTCTGAACAATATATTCTAATTCCTGCCACAGCCAAATGCATTTTCTTTTGTTAGGGTCTCAGTTGTGGTGAAATAAAGGATAACTTTTATTCCTCAGTCAACTGAAGGTTTAGAAACAGGCTTCCTGCAGCCTTATTCTTTTCTGGAATATTGTCAATACTAATTCTGCTTCCTAACCCCAGAAACCCACAACTCCAGTTTCCTCTCAATTTGCTGATTAGCAAAACGGTCCTAAAGCTTTTTCTAGAAAACTTCTGACAAACCTTACCTCACTGGATTCTCTTTCCACATCATCCTCAATTCGGAGACTAGTACCTGTCCTGATAGTTCAAAACATCCACCTCACAAAGATTTTTCTCTATAAGCGGTAGAACACGCAAATCAGGTCTTGAGAGACGAAAAGTGAAAAGTGCTCAGCTGTCTCCTTTCACTTAGAAACTTGGGTAGCCCTGGCTGTGTAGCTGGGTCCTGAGCCCTGCTGCTGGGTGCACAATAATTGCATTTTAAGTTCCGCCCAAGCAAATAGTGTTTTCAGTTTCCTTTCCCCCACCCCCACCACACTCACATCCCCCACAGCTGTGAGGCCTCCGCCAGTGGTATTTTAGATACAAGAAACTTCATGTAAGTCAGAACCTCTTCTGTTTCCGGTATTGCCAGGCAGGTCACAGCCTAAGGGGACAAAAATAGCCCAGTACACACTGCCTGTCCTCATACTCGTGGTTGCTTTTCTGTGATTTCAAGATCCACACAAGAAAAGGCTGGGTGCTGCACAATCTCATGTCTTGATAGAGAGATTGCACTCACGTCAACTTTTTATCACTGGACCCTGCCTTAGCGACTGTAATGCACATTGCATTTGTAAATTGGCGCACTGTTTGCTCACTAAGAGGCTGGCTCTGGAAGTAGGGTTGTCCTCCACCCACTTCAGATGTAGCATGTTCATCTCAAAGTATCCTCCAAGGCTTGGTATCTGGGGATGTCTACTCTCCCATCTCTGCAAAAAGGGGAACAAAACAGCCCAAGAATAAAAACATTATGTTCTTAAAAACAACCAGGTCAAGTATTGCCAACAGATTTTAAGCCATGACATATAAGGTCCTGCAGTATGAAAAAGAAGCCAGATGTTCAGCCATGTGGAGAAAGCTAAGTGCCTTAACTTCCTGGGTTCATTTCTGCCGGGTGTCGTAAGCATCCGTTTTGATAATGTTTTCTCTAACTGGTGCTATTTTTAATTTTATTTGGAAATGTTACCCAAGTTCTTCTCTGCCCAGGACTCTCTCTATTAGAAACTTCAAAGGACTGCCCAGAAGTGGCTTCCACAGCCTAACTCTACTTAGTGCCTTAAGCTCCCATTTGATGATGCTTTTCCCCCTCACTATTGTTAATATTTATATAAAAATGATGCCATGCACACAACCGATCTTATATGAAAGAGGTTTTATGGGGGGGGGGGAAGGGAAGCAGAAGAGAGTTAGGGCCTGATTGAGCCATGAGGGACAGAGAGAAAATCAGAGAGAGAGAGACAGACAGAGATGGGGGAGGGGTGTCCCAACAGAGAAAGGGGAGAGCGCAAGAGAGAAGAGTGAAGTAAGAGACAAGGGTCCTTTTATCCCAGGCCCCTGGCAGCAGCAACCAATGATAACATCCTGGATAAACAACCTAGGAGTGAACTAACAACTATCATTTTGTTTTGTTTTTATTTTACTTTGGCTTGCTAAATAATAAACTGACTCAATCAAAACTGAGAATTTTTTATCCCAGCTCATTCTCTGGACCATACAATTGTCTTATGTTATTGCTAGTTGTATTGTTTTCATTATTTTACTTTATTATTAGTTGTTTGTGGTAACCTCTTACTATACCAAGTTTATAATTTAAACTTTACCTCGTTGGTTGTAGTAATAGGACAAAATATTATTCTTTGTTGTGTGTGATTTCAAACATCTGCTGAGGATTTTGGAATGCATAATAAATGCAATTATATAAGGACTTCTACAACCCACCCCCTGCCTGCTATATGCCCCTGGGAAAGCCCAGTAGTGGTGAGCTATATTCTTCCCCCTACATCCAAACATACACACACACACACACACACACACACACACACACACACACACACACACTAACAGCACCAACATCAAACTTACAGAAATAAAGAAAAATTGGTCATGAATATTTCTCAATGTTAGTGGACTCAGTTCCCAATAAAAAGATTATAGGCTAACAGAAGAGAAGTGTAAATGAGATCGATCATCTGCTGCATACAAGAAATACAACTCAGCAACAAAGATAGATATTACTTCAGACTAAAGGGCCAGAAAAAAATTTTCCAAGTACATAGGCCCAAGAAGCAAGCTAAAGTAGCTAATATCTACTAAAATCAATTGTCAACCACATTAATCAAAAGAGAGGGGAAAAAGTCTTCATACCCATCAAAGAAAAAATCCACCAAGATGACATCCAATTCTGAACATCTATACCCCAAATACAAGCGTACCCACTTTTGTAAAAAGAAACATTACGAAAGCTTAAACCATACATTGAACCCCACACATTAATACTAAGAGACTTCAAAACCCCTCTCTCAACAATAGACAGTCATTAAGATAGAAATTAAACAAAGAAATAAGAAACTAACTGACATTATGAACCAAATCAACCCAACAGATATATACAGAATATTTCAACAACCTACAGAACATTTCATCCAACATAAAAGAATATACCTTCTTCGCAGCACCTCATAGAACCTTCTCCAAAACTGACAACATAGTCTGTCACAAAGCAAGCCTCAAGAGTTACAAAAAATTGAAATAAAACACTGTATTTTATCATTCTACCTTGTATTAAAGCTGGATTTGAACAACAGAAAGCCTACACACTCATGGAAATGGAAAAACTCTCTGCTCAGTGGCCACTGGGTCAGTTTTTATTATTATTAATTTAATAAATAAATTAATTAAAGACTTCCTAGAATTCAACGAAAATGAAGGCGCAACATACCCAAACTTATGGAACATAATGAAAGCAGTGCTAAGAGAAAAGTTCATTGCGCTAAATACCTTCATAAAGAAATTGGAGAGATCTCATACTAGGAATTTAGAAGCACACCTGAAATCTCTAGAACAAAAAGAAGCAAACACAATCAAGAGGAGAAGATGTCAGGAAATAAACTCAGGGCTGAAATCAATAAATTAGAAACAAAGAGAACAAACAAAAAAAAATCAACAAAACCAAGAGCTGGTTCTTTAAGAAAATCAACAAACTAGACAAACCCTTAACCCAAAAGACAGAGAGACAGTATTTAAATTAACAAAATCAGAAACGAAAAGGGAGACATAATGACAGTTACTGAAGAAATACAAAGGATCATTAGTTCTTACTTCAAAAACTTATCATTTGTAGCCAAAAACTTATAGTCTCCATGTGGATTCCTGAGTAAAGGGAGCAGGGATTGCCTCTCTCATGAACTCGATTGACTGCTCTTTGATCAATTGTCCCTAGCGATGCAGACCTTGCCAGGCCACAGAGGAAGAGGATCCAGGCAGTGTTGATGAGACTTGATAAGCCATGGGCAGATGGCAGAGGAAGAGAACTCCCCTTTCAGTGGAATAGGGAAAGGGATGAGGCGAAGAAGAAGGGAGAGTGGGACTGGAAGGAGTTGAGGGAAGGGGCTTCAACCAAGATATATAATAAATAAATTGAGAAAAATTAAAAATCTATAATTCACAAAATTGGAAAAATCTAAATGAAATGGATGATTTTCTTGAGAGATACCACTTACAAAGTTAAATCATGATCAGGTAAACTATTTAAATAGACCTATAACCTTTAAGGAAATAGAAGCAGTCATCAAAAGTCTCCCAGAAAAAAAAAAAAAAAAAAAAAAAAAAAACAGGGCCAGATGGTTTTAGCATATAATTCTAGCAGACTTTCAAAGAAGAGCTAATACTCCTCAAATTATTTCACAAAGCAGAAACAGAGGAACATTGTGAAACTCATTCTATGAGGCCACAGTCATCATGATACCTAAGCTACACAAAAACTCAAAAAGAGAATTTCAGACCAATTTCCCTCATGAATATTAATGCAACAATACTTACTGAAAACCACATCCAAGAACAGATCAATTATATCATCCATAATGATCAAGTAGGCTTTATCCCAGGGATTCAGGGATGGTACAACATACAAAAACCCATCAATGTAATACACCATATAAACAAACTGAAAGAAAAAATTACATGATCATTTTATCAGATGCTTAAAAAAACATTTTACAAAATTCAACACCCCTTCATGTTAAAAGTCTTGGAGAGATCAGGGATATAAGGCACATGCCTAAA